AGGAGAAAAAAGGGAAGTGTACCTGAAAATGTATAGACATTGAGAAAACTAATGTGACAGGTTCAACCCACGTTTAAAAAAAGAAAAAAAAAACTTGCAAAAGGTAACTGTCATGTATGAACCAGTGAATTTAATGTGGGAATTCAGCTTTTGATTTTCTGAGTGATAGATTTCAGGGTTGCTCAAGACATGCTCATTAGCCAACCAGAAGAACTAAAATACATAAAATATCCCTTATGACAAGAGGTAGGGAAAAGACAGAACATTTAAGTTTAAAATTGTCTGTATTTGTTATTTGGTTTCTATGGTTTTTAGGGTCTTTTCAGCTGAATCAATACTACGCATTGTATTGTGTTTGTACATCGAGAGACGTTACCTTTGTTTAGAAACAATTCCAAATAGTGAAAGAATGCATTCCCTGAGAAGCTGTGGACTGCTGAGTTAGTGTGGAGAGTGTTCGTTCTTACTAATCCTAGGCAACTCAATAAACAGTCTTGGAGGAAGGAGTATATGTGGTGTTGCTCTCTAAGTATGCGTTAGGAGGCAGAATGGAATGTTTTGATCATGGATTGGGATATTGGGATTTAGTACTTTAACAGGGAGCCAGTCTTCATGGGGGCAAGCCAGGGGGTGGTAAATAAGTAAAACGTGGTGGAGGTTTCTGGGTCCTGGAGGAAAGACATTTTATGCTTTCAGAGAAGGTGGGTAACCCAGTATTGCTGTTGTGCTCAGACTGTGGGGATGACTGTGATTGTAGTCCCTAACTTTGATGAAAGGGGAGAGCGACCCTTTTGGGAGAAGAGTGAATCTTAGAAAGTAGCACACTGAGGTGAACAAATGGTGACTCTAAAAGAATCAATAAGCTCAGGGGCGCCTGGCTGGCTCAACCGGTGGAGCATGGAGCTCTTGATCTCTTGGTCATGAGTTCAAGCCCCACGTTGGGTGTAAAGCTTACTAAAAAAAAAAAAAAAAAAAAAGAGTCAATAAGCTCAGAAAGTGGCCAAGCTTTTTCAGGGCCTGATGGGAGAAGAATTTTACCTACTAAGTGGAGGAGGCTTCAGGAGAGATGGTATTTCCAGACAGATAGATTTAGGTTCTGTGGACATTCCTAGGTAAGGAGGGTTTATTTGAAATGGACTAGGTTCCAGAGGTTCGCTGGAAGGAAGTACAGTGTATGGACTTGAGGGAACTGGGGGGCTGGTTGATTAAGAGGTTTGGCAGTTCAAGGCAGGCTTCACAGGCACATGGTCCATGTCGTCACTCCAGGCTTTGTGCTCTGCAGGACCCATGCTTGGTTTCATCCTCTGCTGTCACCATCTTAAAATTCTTAGTCATTTTTTAAAAAGATGTATTTATTTATTTGAGAGAGAGAGAGGGAGACAGAGAGGGTGTGGGGGGAGTGGCAGAGGGGGAGAGAGAATCTTAAGCAGACTCCACGCCCAGCACAGAGTCCGACTTGGGGCTCAATCTCACGATCCTGTAATCATGACCTGAGCTAAAATAAGAGTCAGATGCTTAACTGATGGAGCCACCCAGGTGCCCCCAAATTCTTGGTCATTTTTGAATAAGGGGCCCCACTTTTTCATTTTACACTGGGTCCCACAAATTATGTAGCCCATCCTGCCTGGACCTTGGAGAGGCAGAGGACGGTGACGGGAGGAGCCAGGGGAGATGACTAGTGGTGTCAGAGGTCTCTGAAGGTGACCGAGTGGCAGTTCAGCCACCTTCTTGCTCCTGTAAACTGTTGCCAGAAATTGGTTGAAGTTGGATGAAGAATAGTCTGAATGGGGAAGGAAGATTTGCTAGCTGGGAGAAAATTTTTTCCAGTGAAAATGACGTTTACTATCTAACAATAATGTTGTAAGAACATTGTAACGGGAATGTTCAACCATCGTAATCTTTTCAGACAAGTGTGATTAGAAGGTATTTATTGCTGTCAAATTATTATTCATGATCCTCTGAAATGTGAATCTAAAAATTACATTACTTGAGAGAGGCTGATATCATTTTCCACACTGTATCTAATTAACTCTTTTTTGGTGAAAGACATGGAAAAGCCAAACTGTAGGTATCTTTGAATTGTAAATGTGGATTCCTGAGGTGCAGGCTGAGGAGATCTTGACAGACAGGGAAGGAGGAGGTCGCATCACTGTTGATTATGCAGTGAGTTATCAAAAGGATAAAGAGAGCGGAATAGGCATTACCTGCATGTGAATTTCCTGAAAGAGATTGGATCCAGGCCCCAATTCTAAAACCTATTTATTGAGCCTTTATACTCTGATCCTCATCTTATTAGTCATTGTACCCAAACCTGCAGCTACAGTAGATGGGGCTCTGGGTCATAGCGTCTTCGTTATTGTTACACATGATGCAGTACATCACATAGGCAAAGGTCATGGTTCAAAACTGAAACTGATCCTTCCGAGTTCATTACCCAGGTGCTTCCATGCATCCCAATACTGACGACCTGTGCTTATCTTCCTTCATATGGAACCTGTACCATGATTTTGCACCACCCTGACCGTACGTTCTTGAGACCACCAGGTACTAGAAGAAGATAGGAATGTTCTTCCATGACTGTATTATGATTGGGAACCACAATTCATATGTCTTCTTTTTTCTGTCTTTGGTGAAGTATCAGCTCAAATCTTGTACCTAATTTTAAAAATTGGGCTATCTTGTAATTACTAATTTTAATGCAAATTAAATAATAGGAAAAATATAAATCAATCCATGTGTAGTCCCCATTTCCAGTGCTATCAGTTTGTTTGGTTACTGTCTGGAGATTGCCCATGGCTCACCAATGCTCGGTTCACTTATTGAAAGTCCTCTTCTGCTCTGTCTCAGTTTGTGTAATCTACATTACCGTCTTCAGGTTCACCAGTCTCATCTTCTGCAAGAGCCAGTCCATTGTTGATCCCATCCACCGGTACGTTTTTCATCGCAGCCAAGGTAGTTCTCATCTCCAGGAGTTAAATTTGAGTCTCTTTGCTGTCTTCCATGTCTCTGCTTACCATGTTCAACAGTTGCCCATTTTTTTGAACATATGGAAGGTAGTTATTGTAACACTTTAAACATGCAGGTTTGCTCATTCTAACAAGTGTATCACTTCTAAGTTGGCTCCCATTGATCACTCTTTCTCCTCCTTGTGGGTCCTATTTGCTTGCTGTCTTGTATATCTGGTCATTTTTCCTTGGATGCTAGATGTAGTGAATTTTGCTTTGTTGGGTACTGAATATTTTTATATTTCTGTAAGTAATCTTGAGCTCTGTTTGGGGGGCATTGAAGTTATGTGGTTTGAGGCTTTCAGAACTTGAGTTTAGTATTTCTAGGTGGGAGTAGAACAGCTTCCAGCTCAGGGCTCATATCCCTCCCTTCCACCCCCGCACTGAAGCAAGACACGTCTGGTACTCCACCCAGTGCTGCATCGATTAGAAGGCCTCCTTCCTGGCTGCTGGAAACAGACACTATTTCTGGCAATTCATGAGCTCTGACCTTGGGTAGATTCCTAGAGTGTGTGTGTGTGCCGATCATGATTTCTCTGTGTACATGAGGGGACCGACCGCAGATCTTGGAAGTCCTCTCTCTCTCTCTGCAGCTCTGTCCTCTCTGTGACTCTGTCTGGTGCATGCTGGCCAGCTTGGTCTCCGGACTTTCAGTTCAGTCCCCTCTTGAGTGCCCAGGGTGATCGGGGTTCTCCTCGCTGTGCGGCGGCAGCTTGGGAGGTCCCTCAAGGCAGTGAGCTGGAGCAATAGCAGGAGCAGGACTGCCTTGTTCCCTCCCCAGCTCTCCGAAGTTATATTTTGTCTGAGTGTTTTTGTTTTCGTTTCAATTGATTCGGGCAGGAATGCCAATCTGGTCCCTGTTACTCGATAGGGGAAGTCCTCGGGTGATTTGTTCTTAACTGTCTGATGCAGTGACTTGTTGACACATTGGCATAATGGTGCTGCCAACGGCAGCATCAGTTACTGCTTTTTGGGAGGGGAACCTGTCTGATGCATCCGCATCCCATGGAAAGCGTGTACCTTTCAACCCAGAAATTTTGCTAATAGGTAGTTAGGTTATTTAGCCTAGGTCTTTTTTTTTAAAAACTAATTAGGTAATATGCATTTGACACTCATGTAGCCTGTAGATAGAAAATATCAGTCTTATACTAGGACCGGATAATTTATAAGGTCCAGGGCAGAATGAATATGTGGGACACTTCAATAATTATCGAAAATTCATCATGGCAACAGTAGAGCCTTAAACCAAGTGCAGGACCCACCTAAGCATGACTACAGAGATTGTGCACCCTCGGAGCCAGCCCTGACTTCGAATATTTTTATGAATTTTACCTATAAAGAATATATAAAAAGTAAGAGCAAAACAAGTCCCTGGAGAGTTTGATTTAGTAGACTATGAAATTTCTATAAAATACAGTGATTAAAATTCATTTTAGAAGATTTTGAAATTACAATAGTTAACTGTTCCAAGATGGCACCATGGACTTTTTAGTTGTCTTATACAGCGAGGCTGAAGGCTGCATTTGGATGATGGGGGATGAGTTTAGAAGGACCACAAAGGGTCTTATCGGTCTTGGATGCAATAAGGTGGTGAAACTTTATTCTTTGACAAAATTCAATGACAAAATATGTACATTTTAAAGCAGAAGGATCATATGATCAAATCTGTATTTCAGAAAGATAATTCTGATAAATGGTCCAAGATTTTCTGGTAATCCTATCTACAAATGTGGAGGACCCAAATAGTGAAATTTTTTCCTCCTTCTTAATGTCTGTCCCTATTTTCTCATTTTTATTTCTACTGTGTATGGATGCCATTTCCCCTTGAGTCCTCCATCCTCCATATGCCCCTTAGCTTATAGGTTAGCTGGAGAACAGTTAGCCCCATCTCTCAATCTCTAAATTGGCACTGAAATTTTTATCCGTGGACATTTGCAATAAACCTTATCATAGTTTGAAATACATTCCTTTTTTTTTTTTCGTTCTTTCTTTCAGTGTGCTCGGTATGATAATGCCTTCATTGCCGAGATCCTGATTGACAGAGGGGTCAATGTCAACCACCAGGATGAAGACTTTTGGACACCAATGCACATCGCCTGTGCTTGTGATAACCCTGATATTGTCCTGCTGCTTGTACTAGTAAGTAAAGCAATTTGGTTTATTACCATTTGAATATTTGACAGCATATAAAAGGCTGTATATTTAACTATTCATATTTCACAATATGTAATACTTTGTTTGCTAAAAAATAAAATGTGTATGTATGTCATCCTTTATTTTCCTGGAGTTATAAGATAATTAGAGACTAAGGTTTTGGGTCACAGAGTTCATAAAACAAATTGTGCAGATAGCATGTGAAGCTCTACTCCCCTGGTTTTTTAAATTATGTGCCTTAATACTTTGCAAGTAGTCCTAACTAAAATGGTTTCATACATGGTGTTTCTTTCAATCCATTCTCTTAATTTTTAGCCAGCTAGGCATACAGTAATGAGATATGGCAGCTATTGAATCTTATTCTCTTGCTGACATCTAGTAAAGCAGTGTCTACAACATTTCTTTACAAGAAAATGAAAACTTTAAGTATAAAACTCACTAGAGTTATTTGTTGCTGTGGTTTTCAATTATAGTTTAGACCCTGACATTGATCCTCACAACATACTTTAATTATTCTGGAATTGAGATTTGGGATTTTTTTCCGGTGAGTTTATCTCTAACAAAGATTTTAAGAAATTATGCAGGATTTTTAGAAAACATGCACATCTCATCGTCTGATTATGTTGCTTTTCTTTGGCAGACAGAACTGAGAAAGAGAAGCTGGTTTTATTTCATGTGTGATCATAGAGTTAAATCTATAGTTTCCAGATTAACATGGTCATAGTTGTGCAGTGACCCTTTTCTCACATCAGGTACAAAGTAGTGTTTCTGACAGTTATGTTCTGCAGTGACCTTCATTTAGTGATCATTTAATTAATGTTTATTGATTACTATTTTTAACATAATTCCTGCGCTTGAGGAAATTATAGCTTATTCGTTCATTTGAATATTTGTTGAATAACCACTATGTTCTAGGTGCTACACAGTGAACAAAAAGACATTTTACATTATAGAGTATGACAAAAACAAGAGCAAGCCAAATAAGGGCTCCACTGAGAAATGTGGTTAGTAGATTAAGCAAGAATAGAATAATTACTTTTATTTTTTTTGTTTTTGAAAATTCTATTTTATTTTTTTAATTTAATTTAATTTTATTATGTTATGTTAGTCTCCATACAGAACATCATTAGTTTTTTTTTTTTTTTTTAAAGATTTTATTTATTTATCTATGAGATACAGAGAGAGAGATAGGCAGAGGCAGAGGGAGAAGCAGGCTCCCCGCAGAGCAGGGAGCCTCATGCGGGGCTCAATCCCAGGACCGTGGGATCACGACCTGAGACGAAAGCAGACGCTTAACCGACTGAGCCACCCAGGTGCCCCAGAACATCATTAGTTTTTGATGTAGTGTTCCATGATTCATTGTTTTCGAATAACACCCAGTGCTCCATGCAATACATGCTTAGGTTCTTTTTTTAAAACTAATTTAGCTAATATGCATTTGACACTCATGTAGCCTATAGATATAAAATATCAGTCTTATACTAGGACCAGATAATTTATAAAGTCCAGGGCAGAATGAATATGTGTAAAACACGGCACTAAATAGACCACAACGAAGACTTTGCACTATGACGGTGAAACAAGAAGGCCCGGCATTGGCTTGTGGGATCTCTGTTGCAAATGTGTGCACTGGTTGACAAGAATTTTCCCCACTCTGCTCAAGTGTGCGAACGACCGCGGAAGTGGAGCCCAAGGATTCCTTGTGGTATTACAGAAAAATTCTGCCAACAGAAGAATTCGCAAAGGTGGAACCTGTGAATGATGAGGATCCCTCTGTTTATCACTAAGCAAAACAATGGACACTTTCTTAGAATTTTAAGTATGAAATAGAAATCATCTAAACCCGGTATATTTTAGGAATTGGGTGGATCAAAAAATGATGAATTTCTGCAAGAAGTTTTCAAAATTTATACAAAGAAAGTCTCAGTATTTTTACAATTTCCAGCATGCAGCTGGATAGGGTTTTGGAGTTTCCTGGAAGTTTTACAGAGCATTCCTATGATGTGAGCAGTATACTTAATATATAATCTTTATTTTTTTATAATAAGAAATGAGTTATCAGAGAGTTTCCATAATAGAATAACAAGTCAAATCTAAATGTTTTGGCTCCTCCCAAAATAAAATTTTAGTGCACTATAATTTTTTATATTTATATATAATTACACATGTATTTAATTATGTGGAATATATATTGTAATTACACAGTTTGTCCACTGAGAATTTTCTTTTCCTTACTTTTATTGATTGTTGAGCATCTCACATACGTACATTTTGATTTTTCATTCTACATTATCTAATTTTAAAAATATTTTCTAACTTGCTCCATATTCAAACGCTAATGTTCTATAACTCAGAATTATATCTAGTTTTTTTTTTTTTTTTAATTTCAAGGTAATTGGCTATTTCCCAGATTTTAAGAAGCTTTTCTATTACTCAGGAATATATCACAAAGGCTGATAAATGATTAACTCAAATCATGTCAGGTTGTCTTCTCTAGAAAATCTTGATTTCATATTTATTTCAGCATGTTTATGTATGTATATTTCTAGCCTGTTGTATCACTGCATATATACCTTGAAGAAGTACTTATGGAATATGCTCAGAATTTGCTCAATCCCTTGCCTGCGGAGGGAGGGACAGTAGGCTTGTCTTTGCTGTCTCGTGTCTTGGGACTGACTGCACAGGGAACAATCTCTGAGGAAGCTTGCTCAGTTCTCCCTTCTTTTCTCATATGACTTTGAGTAAAAGATTTGCATTTATTTCAGTTTTCTGAATTTTCACGTCTGATTTTGCAGTGTGGCCGCAGGTGCTACTTACTCTGCCCTGTGAGAAGTTCCAAAGCCGGGCCACATCTGCACGTTTTAACAGTCCATTGCATTTGCAACCATTGGAAATACAGCCCTTTAATTTGGTGTTAATTGTTTTGAAAGGAAAATAATCGAGTAAAAGACTGTAGGATGCTTCTACTTGAGAAAATAATATACCTGGGTTACTGATAAATCATCTTGGACTTTTTGTCTTTCCTATTGAAAAACTTGGGAGGATATAATATTCCACATATCCTGGAATTATTTAGTAAACATTACTCCGTAAAGGGTAGCTATTAAAGGTGATTGCAAGAAATGAGTAATGGACAACAGAAGGATAAAATGTCATTTTAATTAGTTTTATTTATAAAACAGTGAATTAATTCTGTTACATACTACCAGGAGACCTTTCAAGGTATTTTTACTCCTTGAAATCAGAAAGCGTAGGGAAAATATTAGCAGATGGATAGTCATTTACTAAGTGAGGCTCAGCAATATCTTTATCATTGTTTCACTTCAGTAACAATGGAACGATTACTGGAAATTGCACTGAATGTTTTCTCAGTCCTTGGCCTTTTGCATGTGAACATCTGATGTTCATAATTTTTGTGCCTGTTGGATAGTGTCATGGACCATGTCTAATGGGTAGTGTGGAACCAGATCATTTTAATGGGTGCTGCAGGTAACTGCCAGAAACCAACAACTCTGTCATAACTGAGATAGTAAATGATATTTCAAAAACATACTGCTTACTTTGCGTTAGGTGGCATAAATTGATAGATCAAAAGTAACTCGTTCCCAAACGGTGCTTATTCGTTGCTTAGACCATTCTTGGGTTAAATATTAGGACATGGGATAGCCTGCTATTTAAGAAGGTGATATCCTCCCTAGAAAATGAGCTACACATCCAGATGGTTCAAGGTAAGTCTGATTTTCCAGTAAGATCTGTGGCAGAGGGCCTGGCGTCATTATCAGCTTTTTATGTAAATGACCCCAGACGCAATATTAAATCTCCCTTAGCAGCTTCTCTTGCCTTCAGCTTCACTGACAAAGTAAGTTTCCAGGCTTGAATGCCTTCGGCTTCCACCTAACAGACAAAATTAACAACAAACTGTTAATTTTTTTCCTATTTATTCACAGCCTTTGTTCCGTCCTGAAAATGTATTTGTTTCCCTCCTGAAGCTAAATTCTCCTCCATCCTCTCTAGACTCTACTGACTGCCACCTGTCGAAGGATTTCTCCGTCACTTTTCCATCTCCCGTTTCCATGGTCTTTCCATTGGGCTCCTCCTTTAAATTCATAGTTATGTCGCAGTATCTTCCAGTAATTAAAAAACTAAGGAAAAGCCTGATTAAACATCTTTCCTATAATTGTCACCACGGTGTCCCTCTCATTCTTATAGTCAAGCTTCTCTGAAGAGCAGCATGCTTTTGCGGACCCACTTACTGCCTCCCAGCCACGCCTCCACGCGGCCAGGCTGCCTGCTGTCCACGCAGGGACCCCAGCATGGCCTTGCCAAGAACACTTTTGACATCTCTGTGATGGATTTCGTTGTTTATCCTGCTTCATTTGTCTCACTAGATCTAAAGGCAAGTGGGTCAGTGAAGGAAATTGGGCAAACAGCCAGGTTTTTTTGCTCAAGGTTGTATTTTGGGGGCTCATCAGAGTAAGAATTTGAAAGAAGCTGCACTGCCTTCTAAGCCCTGTTCATGGCCATTAAACTTAGGAGCCTCTTTGCTTTATTGAGGTACACTTGCAAATAAGATTGTATATTAAGTGTACAGCATGATGATTTGATATATGTGTACTTTGTGAAACGATGACCGTAGTTGGGTTATTAACACATCCACCACATCACATAGTGATCGGTAATTCTTATTTTGTTGTGGTAAGAATGCTTAAGATCCACTGTCTTACTGAAACTCAAGTGTACAAAACAGTATTATTACTTACCGTCACCATACAGTACATTTGATCCTCAGAGCCTATCCATCTGCAACTGACCAGTGGCTCCCCATCTCCCCCACCCCAGCCCTTGGTGACTACCTTTCTACTGTCTGTTTCTATGAGTTTGACTTTTGTTACTGTTCTTATGTTGTGTTTTTGTAAACCTATCATTACCTGACCCTTCCCATGACTAAAATCTATGGTGAAAATTCATCCTGACTTATGGTGAAA